TTTTTTTATCCTTTTTTCTGCCTGCTCTTCTATCTTAGCAGTATTGAGTGATTTGTCTTCCAGCTCACTGGTTCTGGCTTTCATCTCTTCAATTCTGCTCCTTTCCCCTTTATATTGTCCATTTCTGATATTTTATTATTAATCATCTGGACCTCTTTTACTGGTTTTGAATTGTTTCAAATGCTGTATTGATCTTGTTTATTGCTCTTATAGTACTTTCCTGACTTTTTCCTTGTTTTCCTCTACCCCTTTCCAGAGCATTTGAATTTGTTTCCATATCATTCTTCTGAATTCCTTCTCAGGCAAATCCAAAATCTGTGCTTCCTCTTCTGGAAAGCCTTTGTCTGTCTCCAACTCATTGTCTCAGTTACTCTTTTCTGGTTTTGGACATGTTTTGATATCTTTTGTTGGTCATTTCTAGTAGTTATGTGGGTTTTTAATGCTGAAATGGATATTTGTTGCTGTATTATTAAGCTTACTGTGTGTCTGCTGGTGGATATGATCAGAAGATATGCTTTCCTTTTTGCATGTAATGCTTAGCAGCTGTTATTGGCTCTTGTTTCAATGGTTGGATATTATGGGGTATGCTTGTAGCTTGGCTATATGGCCATGATTCCTGACTCTTCTTGGATAACATAGGGAGGAAAAGCTCCCACCTCCAGAAAAAATGTGTGATCTAAAGGCCCAAAAGCAGAAGCAATATAGAAGCAGAGACAGAAACCACCACTTTGAAACAAAAATAAAATTATGGCTGACTGGCCAGTCGCCTTACTACACAGGCAGTGTGTGTGCACCGCAGAAGCCTCCAGTAGTGGGTGGGAGTGTCCACTCACTCAGGCCTCTCCCCTAGTCACCATGGTAGAGGTGCACAGATAGATATTGAGAAGTTAATGGGAGAAACTATTTTTGTCTCTGAAGGTCAGTTAGGCTTCTGCGTGTGCACAGTATAATTTTTGAAATAGTTGCATCTTTTTATATTGGTTTTTTTACAGATTGTTCATATGGTTTGTCTGTCAGGCCAATCCTGCTTTTTTTCTTACTGGATAGGCAGGAGTAAAGGGTCCTGCACAAGTTAACTTTAGGGCTGGGACCCACAGGCAGAAGTCAAAAGCAGCACCCAAAGAATTTGCCCTTGGACTGATGGGGCTCTTTCTCTCTGTGCTGTGGGAAAGCTGTGATCTCAACACTGGACATTTTGGGGGGTGCACACCCACCCACCTGAAGGCGTCTGGGCTGGGCAAAGAAGGCACAACAGGGAAGAGGAGGAAAAAATGTGTAGGATCCCCC